AGAAATTATCATTAAAAACTTACGCTATTCCAAAGCCTTTAGATTATATTTGTCATATGGGTGGAACTTCTTCATGGCTAAACTTCATAGGCCTTTGTTTTTACTACTTGTAAATTTTAATTTTTTCCTAACAATTCTTTATACAATGAATAGGTTTATTTACACCGTATACGAATTTGAATATTATTTTTGGTGTAAATTAAAGAACACTATCCTGGAGATAGTGGTTTGTGGCCTATTATCCTTTCTTTTGTACTTACCCACAGCTTTCAAATTAGTAGTAGTGTCAATCAATGTTTCATCTTATTTTCTATTTCAAGATTATATTTTTGTTCAAAATGGCAATTATCATTATGACGATAAGCGATTTCCCTTGATTAAGTATTATACCTTTAAAGAAAAGAACACTGGAATTGGTACTTCCCGCAGATCCAAAAGAATCAAGTTGATTTATGAGATGAACAGGGAAATAGTATGCAAATTTATCGTGATAGGTGTAATGGGTTACCTTATAATTTTGACAACCAAAGAGATGGTTAGCAAACGTTGGTTATTCGACAAAAGGCATTGGACCTCAATAGCCAAAATATCGATCAAGCTGACTCCTAACAATAAAGTAAATGGGGTCACTCCTGATGCGAATGTAATGAATAGTGGTAATCAAAAAGAAATTGGTAATAGAGTCGCAGATAGGAGAATGCGTAGAGTAATGGCGCGCCACGATACGGTAGAATTAATGAATTTAGATAACTTGCCAAGTAGGTATCGTTTTAACTGGAACAGGAAGTTCTTTCTGACATTACTCAGGGTATTTTGGGTACAATCTTTAATATTTGTTGCCCCAGTTTCTTTAATGCAAATAACAAGCCCATTTTGGTTTAGCAGAATGAGGAAGGAATATATCGAAATCCTGCTTCTTGGTGTTCAAATTGTTAATCTATTAGCTATTATTTTGCCCTTTCCCGTAACTTTCGCAATAATGATGTGTTAAATAAAAATATTCAAAAAAATTAGTTATATTCTAATATCTATCATGAAATTTAGTTTAGACCATTGTTAACATGCTTTTCCCTTTATAATATGGAATTCACTTAATAAAATATTTTTACTTATTATCGCAATTTGATAATCTCATACACTTCCATCATGGGTTCCCCTCTATCATAGGCGTATCCATGATTTTACTAAGGGAATGATTATTAGGCGCGTTTTCTCCTATAAATTTTATCGGAGGTCTTTAGGTACATTTATTATAAACATTTGCCTATGTTGGATTTATATAAATAATGCGAAGTATAGGCGTTATTTTAAAATATCCATTGACATATACTATTTTTTCTTTCGAATTTTTGTTTATCTTTAGAGTGATATATATTCTGTACCTTTTTTGGGGGGAGAGAGGGTGGGGGGTGTTTTAGAGTAATATTTATTGGCTTAAAATAATATTTATTAGATACAGGCAATTTTTCGAAGTTCCCCTCCCACGATTGAGTCTATGTTTATAGTAAATGTGCCTGACCCAAAATCATCATAAATAAAATAGGGGTAGAACGGGGTGTAGAGCAAGATATGGATTTGTAAATTCTCATTTTTTTTAATGGCCCTATATGGTTAAAAATATTTGCGGTGTATGCTATGTGGTAAAAATATTTGGAAGAGGTTGGTATTAAATTTTAGTGGGTAATATTTAATTGGATTAGGGAGGATAAGTACATATTTCATGCTTATAATCTGCTAATCATTTATTCGTTTTTAAGTTTTTGTCATTTTTTCATAATATTTTCTTTGTATAATTACAGCCAGATAAAGAACGGGCAGGATTGGTTTGTACACAACATTAAGTAGAAAACAACATAAAAATTTCACAAAAAAAGATACCGAAGTTTAAAAAAAAGAAGAAAGGATTAATTTGAAATGAGATCATAACTAGCAAATGAACGAGAATATATTAAATTAAGTATCCCTAATATTAGAGTTACATATTAAGGACCTCCAACTCGGGGTTGATAAATCAATTACGTCATCTTTTCTAGTTGTTAAAAGAAAGGAATAAAAAACAAGAAATTGCGAGGGTAGCCCTTTTATTCAATCTATCTATCGCGAAGCCTCCGCTATATTGGCTTAAGGAATTTAGAGTAAACGCGTTTTTTTTTCAAACAGCGCGGTATTTAATGCTGCGTTATTTACAAGATCAAGTAAATATAGGTAAAATTTATAAATATAGAACGAAACAATGATAACGCGATGATAAAATTTGAACGTAAAAATTTTGATTATATGTAAAAAAATAAATAAAATAAATACCTTAAAAAACATTTATTTTGAAAAATATTAGCCTTAAAAAAAAGGATCAACATTATAACTAAAATATTTAGGTAATTTTTTAAAAAAATTTTGAGCCCTGCCGACTCTGAGAGTTAAAGGTTAGTGATACAACTGAATTTGTATATCATTAATCATTACAAACGTTAAATGTCTATATATGATATTTAATTAATGGTATAAATCAGCCTTCTTTATTTTGATATATTTAAATTTAAGCAGCCTATTGTTCTTGTACCATTTTTCAAAAAGTATATAAAAGACAAGTTTTTCTAATAAATAGTACTTATATAATAGTTTTATTTTGGCAAGCGCGACTTGGTTTTAATCTGGTAGATAATTCATGAAAAATTTTAGATTCTCAAAATTATAATTGAAATTATTTTAACATAAATATGTTGAATTTTATAAATTTGTTATAGTTTATATTTTGCAACATCCGACTCTACAAAATCAAATTAGGATTGTAGAAAAAAATCATTAATAATAAATAGTTTAGGGTTAAATCTTTATTTTAAATAAACACTTTTGGCAAAATAACTTGAGATTCAAATGCCAAGAGTTATATTTCTAAAAATATCTGATAAAAAAAAATTTCCAGTTAAGGTAATGATTTTGCTAAAAAGGCTTAAGTAAATATTTAAACATTTATTGTATAATTATAAATAACGTAAAACTTTTGTTTAGCTAAAAAAAATATCTCAAGGTTGATAAAAAAAAGAAGAAAGAAATCAAATAATTATTAAGTAAGGTTCATTTTATATTATCAAGACTGAAATTGGAAAGTATCTTCTATTTTAAGTAGTTTTTTGTATATATATAAAACAAGAACTGTTGGTTTATTACGATTTTTGAGTTATTTGGTCATGCTTTTCCTCGCGAATATCAAGATTTAACTGAAAATTTATAACCCAAACCAATTTATTTAGAATTTTTATCTTATAAACCTAACTTATAATTAGCATAAAATGCTCATCTCCCTATTCATTCTTCTTTTTTTTTAGAAAAAGAAATAATTTACAAAATGCAAATCTATTAACGAGTTATAGATATTGTAGTTATTTTTATATATGTTAGCGTCAATGTGTTTTTTTTTCCATCAATGTATTATATTTTCAATTTTAAAAATCATTTTTTGAGGGCAAAAATTTGATTTTATTGAAAAAGTATTCTATTATGTTTGGAATACCTACCCTATAAATTTCAGCCAATTCTCCGTGAAATTTTTGAGCTTAATATAATTTATATTCGTTTTAATGGTTAAAGGTAAAATTATCTACAATTCATAAAATAGGTATTCTAAACATGCTGGAATACATTTCCGATAATGTCCAATTTTTAAATTTAAAAAACAAAACGCGCTCAAAAAAATGATTTAAAGTTTGAAAAAATTTACATGCCGGAAAAAAACACATTTATGCTAACATGAAAAATTATTTTACAATAATTTGACGCATTTTAAATATTACTTCTACTTGGTTTGTTCTGATTCTAACTTTTACAATAATTTGATGCATTTTAAATATTACTTCTACTTGGTTTGTTCCGATTCTAAATATCCTAGATAGTGTTGTTAGACAACCTAACTCCAACGATAAAACAGCGTAGCCATGTTTTTATTTAAAAATATTCGAATCAATCTTCAAGTTTAGACTCAACTTAAAGAGCTTAATTCAAATTTTTAGGTTAAAAGCTAGACTAAACCACAATAGAGATTGTCGAAGAGAAGAGAAGAGAAGAGAAGAGAAGAGAAGAGAAGAGAAGAGAAGAGAAGAGAAGAGAAGAGAAGAGAAGAAGAAGAGAAGAGAAGAGAAGAGAAGAGAAGAGAAGAGAAGAGAAGAAGAGAAGAGAAGAGAAGAGAAGAGAAGAGAAGATAAGTCTTTTTTGTTTTTAGAAAACGATATTTTTATATTTTTTTAAATAGTAAAAAATTCGTGATTTAATAGCCCGATTAGGATATTTTGCAAAATTAATATTATGTAAGCCTGGAGATTATGCTCATAGATGACAGAAGGGTTTGGATTTGATCTCTATATGTCTAATCTCTAGGCTTACTTAATATTATTTTGGTTAAAATCGTAATCAGACCGCTTTTAAAAATCGACCGTTTAACAACTCTTATCGCCATGGAGGGTCTATGATATAATAATAGGCTCTTGCCATCAATTTTCTGCTTATTGCTATTCCAGGTGACATTCATGGCAAATTAAATTATCAATCCAATCTGAAAAACCATCAAGTTTCACAAAATAATAGGAAAATACTTCATTGTTTTTTTTATAAAAAGCAAAAAATATTTCCTCTCATTTGATTTATAACGACCTTATTTTACATTATGAAGTTTTTGATCCAAAAGAAGTATTTTATGTTTCTTATATATATATATAAAAAAACTTATATCGGTTCATAATAAGAAATAACTCGTCTAAAAATGTAAATCAATTTTAGATATAATAAAAAAAAATTAACTTCTCGGCAGCTACCGTGATATTTAGCATGGATATTAGAAAATAAATTAGACTATAATTTAAAATCATGCAATATATAATAATTAGGAGATGTCGATTGATACTTAGAAAGATAAGGTGGTTAAATTTTATGTTTGCTTTGTAATAATGGTAATATTGTTGCGTTTAAATTAATTTTTTACCAAAGTAAGGCGTTACCATAACCTTTTATTACAACAGCTGTACCTACTCTTAGAAGAACTCAAAGTACCCCTAGACTTAAAGGCTGGGAGATATATCCTAAAAGTAGAATCTTTTCTTTTGTTTTTAAATTTCAATAATCATTAATCGATATTTATTGCCCAAAAATAAGAAAAAATAATTAATTGCAACCGAAATTTTTTTTTAAATCTTATTTCTATTAATAGAAATACCTTATAGAAATACCTTTTCTTTACAAGACAATTTTTGATATGTTTCTAGTACTGTTAAACGGCTTATTTTGAGGCGATTTTTTAAAATCGGCTAACTTAAAATTTTATTAGAAAAAAGCAAGCCTTAAGATTTTGTTCATAGGTAGCATAACAGTTTGAACTTCTATTAACGAAATCTCGAGGCTTATAGTGCGTTACAAATTGAACGTTTTAACGCAGCGTTTTAAATCGCATATCAATAATTTAAAATACAAAACGCAAACGTACTCAAATTAAACGAATGCAATTAAAATGCCTTATTTGCGTTTTGAAACGCAGCTTTGAAATGTTCAATTTGTGCGCACTATTAGACAATATATTTTGGGCTAAAATATTGAGTTTTAGCCGTTTTAAAAAATGGGCTCAAATCGAGCCGTTTAAAAACACTAGTCGTTTCACAAAATTTATTATCTGATAAATATTTATCCCTAAACATCGCATTTGTTGTACACCTGAACACTATTTTGAAAAATGTTTCGAGGATTGCAATGGTGTATTATATTTAGAAATTGTCTAAGGATTGCCAAGGAATAGATTGTTATACTCCAAAATTAGTCGAAGTTTAATATAAATTTTAAAAAAGTGATTGTAAATATAACAATAATAAAGTAACTCCATTAATTCATATTTTCAATAGCGTTACAAAAAAATAACCCCGTTATTTTGCAACGAGCTACTACGAGCAAGGATGAAGCATAATAAGTTAAACCGAGTTTAAAAACGTATAAATTATTTTTGTTTATATAGATGATATTTTAATAAATTAAAATAAAATAATACATTAATTAAAATAATATATTAATTAAAATAAAATATTAATTAAAATAAAATTAAAAGTAAATTTAAAACGTCCTGACGGGATCTCTCAAATCCCATGGAGGAGAGGTCAACTTTTGGTATGGGACTATTCCTGTATTGACCCCTTGGCTTCATCCAACCACGCCATCAACATCCTTGACCATAAGGAACAACTTAAAACTTCTAAATACACAGAAATAATTAACGACCATTGCTTCATCCCAATCATATCAACCACTCTTGGCACCTTCGGCAAACTCGCCTTAGCATTTTTCAAAAACTTAGGATCACAAATCAGCAAACTCTCAGAAGAACCTCGAGAGGGTTTTTTTCTTCGTCAACGATTATCCATAGCGATTCTCAAAGCTAATTATATCAGTTTCAATGGTAGTCTTCTAGCCAAAGAGCTATCCTAGACAACACTTACGTCTCTTTTTCAATTTTGTTTCCCTGCGTCACACCATCTCCGTTCTTTTTTTTAATAGTATTATTATATATTTTTCAAACATATTTTAAATATATTAAAACATAAAATATTATATTTTCGTTTTTTTTAAATACTTTATATTATTATAATTTGAAAATTGAAAATAAAGGATTTTGGAGAATAAAAAAAAAATTATAAAAATATAATAAAATATAATTTAAAATTAATTTAAATAAATTATAATATTAATTAAATTAATTATAATATTCGAATGACCTTTTATAAATATATCGCCATATCTACATAAACCTTTTATAAAATAAATACCGAATTTTACTAACTTATTTCATTTTATTTTATATTCATTTATATTTTATAATACTTTGGATCATAATGTAAAATCCTTTTTTTATTTTAATAAATTAGTTTTCTCATCTTAGCTAAAACCATGTGTTTCAATCAATAAGTAATTGCTTACCCCTGTTTTTCAGGAAGAATATATTTTAAAAATATGGTAAGACAGGCTTTCTTAGAGAGTTTTGTATCTGATTAAATGTTATAAATTTTTTTATAAATACATTGGCCTTAAATGTTTCCCCTGTAAGAAGCATCATTCAAAAATATATAACCATAGCCAAGATTTTTAGTTTTCTTAAATTCTATTGGAGATTGTTTAGAGCAGGTTTTTGGCCAGATTTTATATTTAAAAAAAAATTTACATTTTAATTTTGAATTGTTTTTTTTTCAGAAAAATTTTAATTATTGTCATTATTTGGAAAAATAAAATTATACTTTATAATTGTTATACTATATTCATTTTTTGACAAGCGAGAGAGATGGTAAATAAAGAGTGGGGGGGGGGGGATTAATTGTCTTAAGATTATGTGAAGTAATACTTTTAAAACAAATATCCAAAAATAACCAATAACGATTTTTAAATAAATTATTTATATTATGTCTTTTTGACACTTGTTTACTTATTCATAATATTCTAGATAGTTTTAAAATTAACTTTAAACAACATAAAAACCTTATTTTGTCCCAAACTATTTTAAGATGATACATATATTATGTCCTACGGGGATTCGGATCTCTTGATTTTAAATCCTTTACCGAGGGCAAAGAAAGAAAGAAAGAAAGAAAGAAAGAAAGAAAGAAAGAAAGAAAGAAAGAAAGAAAGAAAGAAAGAAAGAAAGAAAGAAAGAAAGAAAGAAAGAAAGAAAATATAAATTAGAATAAGTTCTTAAGTAGTTCATGGCAAAATTGGCTGAAATTTTTTGGTGTAAATACTCTCCACATGCTAGAATACATTTCAGGTTGAATCGGATTTTAAAATTTTTTAAATCGCCCTCGGTAAAGGATTTAAAATCAAGAGATTCCGAATCCCTATATGACATATATATATATATATATGTATATATAATGGCTAACATATTAGAAAAGTAAAATATTTGGCACCTATGAACCTCGAAACATTAGCATAGATTTCAGAATTCGTGGCTATAATTGTTCCGCCAACTTTAATTTAGATAACTTAAAAATATTACCTATTTTTTTATAAAAAAAGGTAAAATAAAAATAACCACCAGCAGTTTCTTTTTTTTTTGACCGTGCAACGATTTTTTTTTTCTACTGAGCATATCAGTTTTAATTCTGAGCGATTACAAAAAGAATCCTTAAATTTTTTGATTTATTTAATGAAAAAATTTTTTTTACGTTTAATTTAAAATATGGCTATTTCTGGCTTCCTATTTCCGGTTTTTGGTAATAGACTTTTTTTTTCCCCACTAAATATAAATTTTAAATCATATTAAAGGGCCATTCTAGAGATATTTAATAAAATTTAAATTATGTTTTTAGCTTAATTATTTTTTAAGATAATTTCAGGCGTTTTTAAAAATGGGCATTAGTTAGTGTATATACTACCAACATATAAATTTTTTTTTTAAATCGAAGTAGGCCGAATTGAGAATTCGAGTTTTTTGGTTGATTATGGAATACAACATATATATACATTTATTGCTCATCAAAATATATTAGATCTTAGATGAAATAATCATAACTTTAGAGAAATTAAATAAATCAATTGATACATTTATTATATAAGTTAAGAGCATTATCCATGATATTGTATTTCTTATCCAAATATTATTCATAATCATTTTAGATAATTAAAATTTAAAATTATGCTGGCTCGGAAAACATGCCCTGACTGAAAAATAATGATTTTTATTTCAAACATAGTCAAAAGTTTTTATGATAATAAAAAAAATAAAATAATGATTTTAATTCTTCAGTTTTATGGATAAATTAATAACAGTACAATATAGGTAAAATATTGTTAAAATCAGTGCAATAAATATTTTATAGGAATTTGGAACACTAGTAATCAGCATTTTTTAAAAAAATATTTTACAACAATGTATTGGTTTTAAATGAAAAGCTATTTTAAAAAAATATTATGACTGATATGTTAACTATTACTCTAAAATGACGTGTACAGGTTATAAGAGATTAATAGATATTTTTTTAATTTCTTTATAACATAAATATTAAATATTGGTATAATCAAAAAAAAAAATATCTAAATTAAAAAAAATGTTTTAACTGCTATAATATAATTGCTCCTCAAATTAAATAGGATTAGATCATGTTAAGTAATTTAATTTTTACGTTTTAATAGTCTGTCAAAAAAAATTGCATTATAAATAATTCCTTCCTATTTTTTGTGTTATTTCATATCTATAATTTTTTTTTTATTAAACTTACTTAAAACATATTATTTATAGGATTAATTACTTCCTAATTTGAATATATTGGGATATCTTTGGGATCTCCGATTTGTCAACATTTAATTTATTTATAATTCTTCATCCCCTTTTGTCGCTTTCTTCTTTTATATTTTTCATTCCTTAATAATAAAAAACCAGTTAATTTACCTGCGCGATAATTATAAATATATTTTCTTAATTAAATTTATAACACGAATCGTAAGCCCACCATAAAAATAATAAATTAGAATGAAGGTTATTCATTAGTTAAGTTTTCTTTATTTAAAATTAAAAAAAATTTAATAAATATGTGAAAAGTTTTATATATTTTCCTATTTAATACCGATAATATATAGATAAAAACCTTATTTGAATATATAAAATCTCTTTAAAAATTTTTTATTCAAGACTCTAAACCCCCAAAAATGTAAAAATAAATAAAACTATAATCATCGTGAAACTGCTCACAAATTAACTAATATACCATTCGACCGTATTATCTTGAATGCATCCTGAAAATGTTCATATTAAGTCAGAGTTAGGTCCTAAACCTAAACCCGAGTTGAATATAGTAGATGACCGATTTAGCGATCCCATAGATTTAGCCCATCATTATTTTGTGTATAGGAATCAAATTCTTATAATTACAAATTGTAGAATCACGCCCATATTTGCCATATTCGGAATTCTTGTTAATGTGATAGTCATAGTCTATTTGATAAAGTTGATTCAAAGGCATCCTCTAGAAGATCAGGTTCAAAATATTGAAAATGTACGTGTAATCATATTAAAGTGGCTGAAATTTCAATTAGAAAAAGTGGTTGGGTCTAGGATAGGGAAAATATTTAAGTTAAAATATCTTAGAATATTGCGCTTGTTTAAAAAAATCAAAAAAACTACTCCTAGGAATGATATAGAATCTATGGTGGGTTTTCAAATTGCTTCTATCTCAACCAGAAATATGAATACTACCAACATTCATAATAGTAACGAGAGGTTAAATAAAGTTAAGAAAGGTGTTTATAAGAGAAATGATTTACAATTCACCAATGAATCACCAAAAAAATTATTATCAAAAATGAATAAAAGGGATAGGGCGGAATCATCATCCTATATAATTTTATTAGTCTTTTGCGCCGGTAATTTGTTGTTGGCTACCCTTGCTTTGATGCGTGTCTCGGTAGAATGCTTGGCAAATGAACCCTTCAAACATATTAGGGAGTTGTTGATTATGCAAGAAAAGTCTTACTATAACGCATCACTTTTAATTCGGAATAATAAGATGAAGTTTAGATATATCTATGATAATCTCCGACTTCTTACTACCCCGTCTCCCTTCGGTTCAAGCAGAGTTATCAGTCGCGCGACAATCGGTACTATTACAAGATCTAAGCCAACCATAAAGAATGAGTATATATATGATACAAAAGATAATAATATCCTAAATAAAACCAAAGAGATGGAAAACAAAGGTTCAAATCTTATGCACGAGAGTTACAATAAAATGGCTCATAATGTTTCAGTAAATTGGAAGGATATTAATTCAGAGATAGAAGCCATTACAGAATTCATCATTATAAACTTACGCTATTCCAAAGCTTTTAGATTATACATGTCATATGGGTGGAACTTCTTCATGGCCAAACTTCATATACCTTTAGCATTACTACTTGTAAATTTCAATTTTTTCATAACTATCCTTTATACAATGAACAGGTTTATTTACACTGTATACGAATTTGAATATTATTTTTGGTGTAAATTAAAGAACACCATCCTGGAGATAGTAGCTTGTGGCCTATTATCCTTTCTTTTGTACTTACCCACAACCTTCAATTACATAGTAGTGGCAATCAATGTTTCATCTTATTTCCTATTTCAAGATTACATATTTGTTCAAAATGGCAATTATCATTTTGACGATAAAAGATTTCCCTTGATTAAGTATTATTCCTTTAAAAAGAGGAACACTGGATTTGGATCTTCCCGCAAATCCAAAAGAATCTGGTTGATTTATGAGATAAACAGAGAAATAGTATGCAAGTTTATCGTGATAGGTGTAATGGGTTATCTTATAATTTTGATAGCTAAAGAGATGGTTAGCAAACGTTGGTTATTCGACAAAAGGCATTGGTCCTCAATAGCCAAAATATCGATCAAGCTGACTCCTAATAATAAAGAAAAGGGGGTCACTCCTGATGGGAATGTAATGAATAGTG